GCTATAGAACATCGCGTAACAAGTGCTAGTGTTATATCCTATGTGTTTCTGCTGTTAGCCTTATTTCCTGAGTTTCTCCCTTTGATAATAACTGCACAGTAATATGTAATTTAGAACTGCATAGTTTATATCTTTAATTCTAAGTGTGTGTGCATATTAATTCTAAGTGCATAGTTATAGTGAAACTTAGCTTTGTACAAGGCCCGAACATGACACCTACAAAATTGCTATAGGTTAAGATGTTAGGATTGGATAATGCTTGTAAAGACTGAATATGACCTGTTACACTGTCCATTAAACGTTAGAAGTCAACTTAATTCTTACAATGTCTTGTCGTGATACAAAAGACCATGGCAAGGGAAAATTCCTGACAGAGAAAATTCCTCACTAACACACTACTTCCTAAAACATGACAAACCATCATAGATAAATACACATAGTGCAAGTTGAATCAAAGTCAGATATCTTAATGTAAATGTAAATTGTAAATGTATCTTTAACTATGGATCTCTGATATTGTATTCAATTTACTAATACTTCCTTCCTCCACCTAATTTTGTTAAAATAAAAATTAAGTTAAATTAAAAATGCATCATCATAAAACACAGAATCATATTAGAAATGTAATGCAAATAAAGCCCCAACAGAGTATACATTTCTTAAAAATCAGTTTTTATGCAGATTAGATAGTGTTTACAATTTTGTCTGTATTCCATCTTCTGTATACTTACAATTTAATATGTATAAAACTGTTTTAGTTACATAACTGATTCACTTAAGGCTAAGCCTAAAACACACAAATTATTAATTATCTTTTTAGAAGGTTTAATGTGTGTAATTGCTTTATGTTTACCTTAGGTCTGATATTACAACCGAGTTATTATAGCTGACATGCCTAGTACAACATACCAAGAAATGCCCCGTGGCTTACTGGTGGCAAAATTAATTTTTCAGTTTTCTTTGCATAGCAATTTTCCTTTCCACACACTACTTTGTGCAGCTTGCATGCATGCATTTGGTTTTAACATTTAATCACTCAGGTTACTTTCAAAATCTCCCCTTCCTTGTAAAACAGTCAGAACAAAGATGTTATGTAACCATTGTCTTGCGGTAACATTTTATAGTGTCTAAATAATTTATTGTGCAGAAAATGTTAAATGTCTCTTTACCAAGCAAACCGAATAGTTTATAATATATCTAAAAGGTTTCTACATCTAAATTAAATTATTTGTTTATACATATATAAGATATTTTGATTAAATCAAAGGGCAAACATTTGTGATATAGCATAAAACAAATAGGACTAATGAAAATATTTCGAAAATTGGGCAGACTAGATGCCCCGAATGGTTCTTATCTTCAACCACATTCTATGTTTATATGTTTCTATGTAACACAGTAAAACACTCATTTGGACATGATTATAGCAGATCATCACTGATATATTTGTAGATTATATTTCTAGATGACTGAATGTACATAGTTTTGGTGACTTGACTATGTAGTTATGAAATGAAGATAAAAACCTTTATGGAACATTTTTTATACTTGCAATTCTGGAAGGACATATTTTTTGTGGATTACCTCAAGAAGGCATTAACACAAGGCCCAGAGTCTTATTTAGAATTATATTGTGGTTCTAGTTTGGGTTATAATATTTATTACAAATAATCACAGTGAACCACAGTTCCAAATTATACACCCCACAGAATGAGATAAAACCTGGCATTTTACATTTACTGAAATAATTGAATTCATCGCTAACAGGGTAATGCCAGGCTAATTGCTGAATCAATAAGGATAAGTTCACTTAAACTATAATAATCTGCAACGTAAATAGTTGGCACTGTGTATTATCAATAAATAAATTCCTGTACTGAATAAAAATGAGGGGAAATAGCCTACTAAGACATAGCACAAATGAATAATAGAAAACCAACATATAAGATAACAGAATCATATGTCAATCTGTTTGAAATGATAAAACTCCATGAGTGCAGATGCATATCACATGCCCTGCATATTATTATTATTATTATTATTATTATTATTATTATTGCCATTTATATAGTGCCAACAGATTCCGTAGCTCAACAGTGTTCCTGCACCAGCTTCAAGATTTGCCAATCCACAAGTTAATCACTTTTCTTCTGAGTTACATTCATGACAAATTATTGTTTCAATTGCAATCTGGCAAGATACCTATCTGTTCCAGTACTGCAAATGTTTAGATTGTCTACATCCTGTTAGTATCAGTACTTCACCTATCCCTGTCTAGTCAATCATGTAAGAATGCTCAGATCGATAACAAATAAAACAAATAAATCAAATATTGTAAATAATGGTAAAAAATTTTTTTTTCTAAAATGGAGATGTAGTGGGTGTATGTAAATTAAGTCATTATTGAAAACTAAGTGCATAATTATTAACACATATATTTCTTTTTGCTAATGATTAATACCAAGTTAGCTTATTATTTAGAGGTATAACTTTTCAATCTGTTGTATTACAGAATTATCATAACCACAATTTTTTAATAGTAGGATCATGGTAAAACACCAAAGGTTTCATATCTGCCTGCTATCATGCTTACAAACAAAATCATTAGCCAGTTTTACAAAATGTAAAAGCATTAAACTGCATAGATGAAATATCACCTCAGGGACCAATCATATCCAATTAATTATGTATGCTTCTGAATTAAGGCCCATTTCTACTGAGTGGATACATTCTGTTGACGAAAACCACTTTCACAATATTTTGTGAGCATTAATAACGTCCTGGTCTCCCAGCTATTTTACCTTAATCAGATACCAGAGATGTGTGATTACTCTCCACATTATTTGGCTCATCTCCAGGCTTTTCATACAGTTAATGCATTCCCCAGGGTTTAAGCCACTTCATGTGGTGACCACCTTCATCGTGGTGAATAGTGTCTTACATTCATACTAAAGACAATTTGCACATTTAAAAGAAAATTGACATCACACACAATTCCTATAAATGTAAGAGTAGGGTGCAGTATTTGCAAACTTGGAATTCAGTGCTGTTTGTCCTGACTGTTTCGACCTGTATCAAGCTTGACAGGTTACAGGTTGAAACATTGCAGATCCAATAAAACTGCCTTGAAGATATCACAGTGAGTGCCTAACATTTGTTTCATTTATATAGATTATATGGGATTTGCTGACCCATGCTCAGTGCACCTTGTGTTAAATTATATGATCGAGTGCAACCTTCCTTTTTTCTTATTACCATTTTCATTTATGTCACAGTCTGTCAGGCTCAGGCCTCTCCTATGCATTCCTAGCCTTTTCTGTTTTTAAATTTTAATATCTTTACATAAAATTATATTTTTAATTTATTTTTATTGACATTTTTAAAGAAAATACTTACCTATCTCCTTTATCATTTCCTACCTCCCCTTTCTGACAATCAACTGGGAAATTGACTTTGTGTCAAGAGCACAGCTTCACTCAACTTACAATAAATTCCAGTATTGCCTTCTTCTGCCTCCACTTACCCAAAGACTTGGTATTCACCAAACAATATTCTGAGTCCATTTATTAAAATAACCTGAATTCACCAAAGCTATATATTGGTGTGGCTGTCGAAAGTTGGGTCCTCTGCTCTATCATATTTCATAGAGTAGGCATCTGACTCTGCCATCATGCTACTGACTCTGCTACCATAATGGAGTCTGGAGGCTGATGGGAAGTCTGGAGGAAGAGCGGTGGAAGTCGAGCCCCCCTATGACATCATCTGGTGTGTGGGTTGCTCCAGTAAGCTGCCAGTAATTTAAAAAAAACTATTCCCTGGCCAGGGGCCGGGGGTCCATGTATTTTTTTTCCCTCTGGTCTGGTACCCTAAGGCAACCAACTGTTCTGACTTATGGATGTGCTAGCCCTGTATAGGTCATTAGAGGCTCCAACAGTAGTCTCTTCCACCATGTGCCTGTCCCACCTGCCTTTTAAAAAAGTTAAAATTTCTCCTTGTTCATTTTTCCATTGTTGTAGGCACTCTACAGAGGTTTGCACACAACTTTATAGTGAACCCAAGGAGAGCAAAAGTCTTCTCTTAGTTACAAAGCTTCACTCCAAAATAAGCAATACATGCTTGTCATTCATAAATTGTCATTGTTTTTCCTTTTTTTTCAAAGTGTATTTACCACAAATGTAGTCAAATAATTGCTCAAATGATTAAATAACTTATTTTGTATTAAAAAAAACAAAATCATTATGAAATGATATGCAGTAGATAAAAAGCAAAACAGCATTAACCCCTTAAGGACTGGACTGTTTTTGCGATGTTGTACATTTGCGACCAGGCATATTTTTACACTTTTGTGGTGTTTGTGTTTGGCTGTAATTTTCCGCTTTCTCATTTACTGTTCCCATACAAATTATATATTGTTTTTTTCAGGACAAAAGGGGCTTTCTTTACATACCATTATTTATATAATCTCATGTATTTTAATTTAAAAAAAATAAAAAAATATGATGAAAAATTGAAAAAAATACATGTTTTTTGACTTTTACTTGAAAAATCTTTTACTCATCTACAAAAGCGAATGAAAAAAACTGCTAAATAGATTCAAAATTTTGTCCTGAGTTTAAAAATACCTAGTGTTTACGTGCTTTTTTGCTTTTTTTTGCATGTTATAGGGCTATAGGTACAAGTAGGATATTGCGGTTTCAAAACATACATTTTAAAATTTATCAATAGTGACATTGTAACACTATTATCTGTCATAAATCTCTGAATAACACCCCACATGTACATATTTTTTTTAAAGTAGACACCCAGGGTATTCAATATGGGGTATGTCCAGTCTTTTTTAGTAGCCACTTAGTCGAAAACACTGGCCAAAGTAAGCATTCATATTTGTTTGTGTGTGAAAAAAGTAAAAAAACTAAATTGAACGCTAATTTTGGCCAGTGTTTGTGACCAAGTGGTTACTAAAAAAGACTGGACATACCCCATTTGCAATACCTTGGGTTGTCTTCTTTTGCAAATGGTATGCCATCATGGGGGTAATTCTCATTCCTGGGCTACCATACGCTCTCAAAGGCAACGTAACCAACCTGGCCATTTTCAATGTAAAAATATTTGACCCATATATTTGACCTTGTAACTTTCAAAAATGCTATAAAACCTGTACATGGGTGGTACTGTTTTACTCGGGAGACATCGCTGAACACAAATATTAGTGTTTAAAAACTGGAAAACGTATCACAACAACTATATCATCAGTAAAAGTGCTGTTTGTGTGTGAAAAATGCAAAAAAAGTAACTTTCACTGACAATATCATCACTGTGATATGTTTTACTGTTTTGAATCACTAATATTTGTGTTCAGCGAAGTCTCCCGAGTAAAACAGTACCCCCCATGTACAGGTTTTAGGGTGTCGTAGAACGTTACAGGGTAAAATACAGTGCTAGCAAATTAAATTCTCTGGAATTTCGGCCTGGGTTGGCAGGCAGGTCCCTCAAATTGCAATCAATAAAATTACTGAATTATGTAAAAATATTACATAAATACGCACGTAGAATTTAAATATATATGCATATTTATATATTTGAAGTCTACGTGTATATTTATATAATTATTTATGTAATTTTGTATATGGACGTATGTATATTTCTTATTATTTTTATTTATTTTTATATACATAGATATATATACAAATTCATTCTAAGTGTATTTTGATATAAATATATATATATTAATTTTAAAATACAGTTAGAATAAAATTTCATATAGCTATATAATTTTTTTTAAAATTTTTTATTATTATTTAAAAAAAATTTTATTTAATTTAAATTACTTATTATTTATATTTTATAATAATATATATATACAATATATATAGTTATTATATATATTATATATATACGTGTGTAATTTAATTATAAGTGTATTTTTATATTAATATAAGTACATATTAATATAAAAATACACTTAGTATGGCATTATATATATGATATATAGACATATATTATATAGATATAATATATGTCTATATATCATATATACACATATATAATTATTTTTATTTTTTTTATTAACACTAACTTTATTTTTTTTTTGATTTTACACTAGCAGGGAGACTGCCTGTCAGCACAGACAGTCCCCCTGCAGGCAGACACATGGACACCTATTGTGACCATGTGATCGCTGTGTTGAGCGATCACATGGCCACAGGGGTCCTAATCTGCCGTGGGGAGACTGTCTGGGCTGCAGGCAGTCTCCCCACAACCGGAGCCACACTGATCGCCGCCGGGGGAACGACGGCGATCAGGTAAGTAGCTCTGACCGTTAGGACGGTTCAGGACCGTCATCGGTCCTCAAGGCAAAAATGCCGATGACGGTCCTGAACCGTCCTCGGTCCTTAAGGGGTTAAAGCTTAGATTAAAGATTACATTAGGTAAAACTACAGTCAAAAAGTAGTTTGGCAAAACAAATGTCATTTTTGAATTGAGCACCCCACAAATATCCTAAATTTGTTCAAACATCAATGGCAACTAAAAAAGTTTTGTTTATTTATTTTTGTTGACCTGTGTAATTACCAAATTTAGTTTCTGTGAAATGTCCAAATTGTTCCAGATATGTACAGTACAAGGCAACATTATGTTAGTTTGTATCAAACCTGATGGCTTTATAAATGTAGGCTTAACTATCAATGTCTTAAAAAAATCATTGTTCACTATTAAACAATCTCAATGTGTCAAACAACGAAGCCGGAACAAATCTGTTGGCCATAGAGAATGTGACTTATATCTACCCTCCTCCCAAGTTCCTCCTGTAGTTCTGCCGAAGTTTGGAACCTGGATGCTAGGTTACCACACTCAACTTCCGGTATCTGTGTTTCCCAGCTTAGGGTTGCATTTTGGCATCAGTGGGAAGAGAATCGGTTCGGGCTCCTGAGTAAGGAGCCTGACCCATAGTCAACCTCCACTGGTTTTCTTCTTTTAACATTGTACATTTGTCCTTCATTCTGCCATGTTACATATTCACTATGGTTCAGTGCATTTGGCTTACATTTTGATATGCTACATGTGCACTTAATTCTATACATTCGGCTTATGTTCATTCGCGATATATATTCACTTTAGTCCAGGGCATTTGGTCTAGGTTCAACAACATTACATTTTTACTTTGGTTGACTACATTCGGCTTACGTTTGGCTATGCTACATAGTTGCTGTGGTCTACTGCATTTGACCTACATTCAGCTGTGTTACATTTTAAATCTGGGTCAGTAAAATTCATTACGTTCAGTCAAGCTTTCATTACCTTATTTTAAGCCTTGTTTAGCTTGTCATTAGGCATTTACATATCATTTTGTTATGCCATCAGTTAGTCCCAGGACTGCTGGTAAGCTTTTACTGTATTTTTTAAGGTTGTAAGAAACTTTATACTTTCATGCATGCAACACATTTTATCAGTTTCATTGTGGTATTTATCTGCACTAAGATTTTTTGTGGATGTGCTCCTAGCTTGCTCTTTGGGTTTTCTGCATGGTACTGCATGGTTTTATTAATATAAAGCATTTGCCAAAAAAGCAAAGCTTCTTTTCACACAGACATAAGCCTCAGGATGTATGGCTGCTGAAACTTCCCAAAGACAAGAGTCTCTTATTTTCTAATGATACAATAAGTATGGAAGGTGGTGTCAGGAAGCAGTGCCTGTAGTGGTATTTCCAAGCTCAAAACGATATGAAGAAGGAAAGGAAAAGACACAAATATAGTGTAGTATTTAAGACCAACACCTCCTCCATATCGTTTTGAGCTTGGAAATACGACTACAGGCGCTGCTCCATGACACCACCTTTCATTCGATATACTTACCTTATCTTAATCTCCAGAGTCAGACAGTATATTGACTAGCATGATCTATAGAGTTATTATTTGTATTGGTATTATTAGTATGTAGTTGTATGTTACATGTTTCTATGTCAAATGATTAGTACACAATACTTTGTAATACTACAAGGTTTTCATACGATTACTGGTTGTGGGGTTATAGGAACAGTTACATTTACAGGTTCTCATAGTCCAATTTATTTATATTTATTTGGTAATTTCCATAAGTAACAGTCATTGCTTAGGGCTATGAAGTATGCTCACTTCTGGGGCTATTTTTTAGCATATATGGTCAACTGGATCATTTATTATACTGTTCAATTTCCTCTGGTTTGCTTTGGTAACAAGTATTAACTAGAGTATTTTGATGTTCTGGGCTCATCTTACTTTGTACCTACCTTACCAGCAAGCGCTCTGATGCATATTCACAGTGTTAGTAATATAGTTCTGAATTATTAACACTAAGCTCTCTGGGGTCACTTTTTGGTTTTGGGTTTAGATTATTGAACCACTGTACACATTTATGCCTTCTACTTTCAATTCACTTATTCTTACTGCCAACTTCTACCATTCTAGCTTTGATCAATCTAGCAGGTATATATCTATTTATTCATGTCACATTTTCATTGTTTTCATTCACATTTTTCAAGTCACCACACAAGTGACTCACTTTATGAAACTACCTACCTCTGCTCTACAGAACATTATGTTTAGCTTAGTCTGTGAGGTGGCTAACTATGAGGTCGTTGGGTGTGAGTGCCTCCGAGTATGAGGATGGGTGTTGGCCTCGCGGGACCACTAAGACAAGGCAAGAAGGCCAGAAAATCTGAATAAGCAGACTCTGAAACCTATTAGCTAGTAGACAAACTCTCACCCTAGTGTCAGTTGCAGGGTGGGGAGGTGGGGAAGGTGTAACGACCAATGGGTTCACATACCTGTCGTATCAGATAGATATAGAGTAGGACAGATTAGATGAAACTTGAGCAACACCTATGAGAGTAATAGCAATGTTGTAGTACCCATATTGTGACTGTTAAAGAGCAAAAAAAAATAATAAATAATAATATGGGATACCTACCAGTCAATAGACTAGGTCTAAAATGAACCAGGCAAAGTGTAACTGGTAGTATAACCAATAGGGCCTAGTACCTAATAACATAAAAAGGTGAGGGTCAGATTGTGGATCCCCAAGACAAATCTAAACCACTAACCAATGTGAAATTGTAGAAATTGAAAGAGAGGAGATGATTGTTGTGACGGACCGCCTGCCACCCCGACTGGGTGCCTCCGTCGAGGGCTTTTATGCATGTAGGGGGGCTTTTATGCATGTTCAGGTGAGTGCAGCCCCCTGGTTTTCATATATAAATATATCTGGGAGTCCAGGCCAACTCCCTGATTTTGCAATCCTCCCTGTCACAGGTGCCTTATTCCAGTGCCCTATTTAACCTTGTACTGCAGAATGCCCCAGATTTAAGTTTTTTTTGGTTTTTTTTTTACCAAGTAAGCATGTTAATCTTATAAAAGTAGACATTAGATTGTTAGAGAAAGACTTTCCAAAAATGGGGTACATTGATGTTCTGGCAGACTTATAAAATGCATAATCATCTACTGTAAGTAAACAACCATTGATTTTGCCTAGGTTAGGTTTAAAAAAAAAAAAAAAACTATTACATTCTGTGAGCCTTGAAATTGCTATTAAGTGAATGAGCAAGTGTGCTGGATTGTGTATGCTGTGTGTGTATATATATGTATGTATGTATGTATAAGGGCAAGGACTGCATTTTTAATGTTGTGGTTCTAATCAGCATTGTGCCAGTTCTGGAAGTCTCTCTGAAAGCATAAAGGTAGTTACAAATAAAAATTGTGGTGAGGTCAAACACAATACAACTTCCCACTGTGCAAATGCAAAACAAATACTGTTATACATCATTTGCATATCTCAAGTTGGACTTTGAGAGGTCCTTCATTGCCCTAGGATCTTGAGAATAAGGTACACAGTGATTTTACATTTGTGTTGTTTCAAAACCACCCACTAGTAATATCACACAAGACTGCCTTATCTATGCTAAAAAAAGATGTAGTAGTATACTGTTGGATGTGTTTGTTTCCAAATGTCTTTAGCCTTATCTGTGCTTAAACTGATAGCAAGGACTGTTGATCTTGTTGCCCACTAAGTGTTAGATTTTAGTATTCAGTAGTTTTCAATTATTAGACATATGGGAACAATGCCTATATTTGTCAGATTTGGGATTAGAAATATACTTGAAGAGTGAATGTAGTTCTTGAAAGAAACTGTCCAACTCTCATGGGAAATATACAGAAATAGCATGTGTTTGTAAAGTCTTGCCACCCATCAAGACACCTTATCGACACCCTACATTAATAATATGAACATATGTCAGGATCCATATGCTTTAATAGCAGTTATTCTGGCACTTAGAATAGCTTATGCTTGCCTAGGGTAAAGATGCAAAACTATCCTCTGCACGACATCTTACATAATTGCTTTAATATAGCACACATTTTATTCTAATAAGCATAAAGAAAGTTAAAGTTAAATATTGGATAAAATTGTTTGATACATTGTTATGCTCCTCTTTACAAAGAGCATAAGAACTACAGCTGCAATTATATC